TGGAGGTTGTCATTTAGTGCTGTTGAGTCGGTTCCAACCCGTAGTGACCCTGTGTAGGGTTTCTGAAGAGCAGCTGGTGAGCTTGAACCGCCAACCTTGCAGTTCAAACGGCTTTGCAGTCTGGCACATTAACCCACAGCATCACACCAGGACTCCACTCATGGAGGTAGTAGCTCAAAATACCAATAGAGAGGGAAGGAGTCTTCACATCAAGTATCAATGCTATCCCCTCTATATAAACGGTAGATAGGGGCAGGCAACTTAGACATTGGCTACCTAAAATGAGGGTATGATAAAGCCATGAAGTGACTGGCTTACAAGGTTTCAAGAGGGAGTTTAGTTTGAGAGTGTGGGAGACGAAAGAATCCCCACTGAATAGTTTTCATCTTGTTTAGATGGGTCTGGTAATTCAAAAGTGAGTTAATTGTTATCATGACTAATTACGACTGTCACAATTGTAAAGGTAGACGTTTAGTAACAAAAACAGGGGAGTGATTAATCTTACAGTCCAGAAACAAAGGACCCTAGGACCATCAAGGGATAAGAGCACAAGCAGAATGCAGGACCCTATCTAGAGAAGCAGTGACACCAGAGATGGGAACATGGAGAGAGGGAGCAGCTGAGGACTCTAGATGCATGGAAAGAGAGGGACTGAGAGCTGCTAGCCAGGAGGCAGACTTGCAGAATGGGCCTTTTGGTGGTGTCAATTATTATATATTGCTGAGTGGTGCTTTTTTTTTTTTTAATAACTAAAATGAATAAAAATACTGTTAACTGATGGTACATGGTAGGGATTATAATCATTGTAATGAAACAAAGTATATGATTTGTTGGATGGAAAACTGATGATCTGCCCTGTAAACTTTCACTCAATTCACAATAAAAACTGTATATATGTCTATATCTATATATGCATGCAATATAAAGGAACTTATGTTTTTTATACATTTCAAAACAAGTTAATATCTGGGTAGGAAAATTTAATATCCACATGCAAGGAATGAAGTTGGACCTATAGCTTAAACCATTTTATAAAAGTTAAATCAATCAGTGCTTAAATGTAGGAACTAAAACCGTACACTCTGAAAAGACAACACTGAGGTGAACCTGCAGGACCTAGTTTTGGACAATGGGTTCTTAGCAATGACACCAAAACACAAGCAATGACAACAAAAGATAAATTGGATTTCATTAAAAGTTGTAACTCTGTGCATAAAGGACTTCACCAACAAAATGAAGAGACAGTGTACATATTGGGAGGGGGGTGAAATTAGGGGTAACCACCTATCAGATAAGAACTGGATGGCTAACCACAAGGTCAGCAATTCTAGCCCACCAGCAATTCCTTGGAAACCTTATACAGGGTCTCTGTGAGTTGGATCCAACTAGAAGGCACTTAAAAACGTTTATTGGATAAGGATTTAATCAGAATATGTAGAGAATTTCTAAACTTCAAGATCAAAAAGAGCCAAAGGTCTTGTCTTGTATTTCACCAAAGAAGATATAAAAATGGCCAACAAGCATATGAAAAGATGTTCAATGTTGCTAGTCATTGTTTTTAAGTGCCTTTGAGTTAGTTTTGAGTCATAGTAACCCTGAGTAGGGTTTCCAAGAGTGACTGGTAGGTTTGAACTGCTGACCTTGCAGTTATCAGTCTAGTACTTATTCTACAGCACCGCATCAGTTAGTCATGTGTTGTTTTGTTGTTAAGTGCTGTCAAACAGTTCTGACTCCTAATATGAGCCATCGTGCAGTTCAAATTGACCTTGTGGTTCAGTGCTTATGCTGCTGTACCATACCAGGACTCCAGTTAGTCATTGTTGTTGTAAGGTGCCATTGAGTCGGTACTGACCTATAGTGACCTTATGCATAGCAGAACGAAACACTGCTCGATCCTGGGCCAGCCTCACTACTGTTGCCACGCTTGAGTCCATCGATGCTGCCACTTGACTAATCCATCTCTTTGGGGGTCTTCCTCTTTTCCTCTGATCCTCCACCTTACCAAACATGACATCCTTCTCCAGTGACAGGTCCCTTCTGACAATATGTCTGAAGTATGAGAGATGACGTTTGGCCATCTTGGCCTCCAAGGAGCATTCTGGCTGCACTTCTTCCAGCACGGATCTATTGGTTCTTTTGGCAGCCCATGACACTTTCAATATTCTCCAACACTATAATTCAAAAGCATCAATTCTTCTAAGGTGCGCCTCACCCAAGCCATGGTATTTTCAATAACCTCATATGTATGCAAAAGCTGGACAGTGAAGACTGTAGAAGAATTGATGCTTTTGAGTTAGTCATTAGGGAAACACAGATTAAAACCACTTTAGGGTACCACTTTATCCCCACAAAGAAGTCTGTGATAAAAAAGAAGGGAAGGGAAGGAAAGGAAGAAAGACAAGACATATCAACAAGGAGTAGTAGAAAAAATGAAACTCATATCCATTGCTGGAAGGAAGTAAAATGATGCAGCTGCTATAAAAACAGTGTGATTCCATAAAACAATTAACATGACTCAGCACTTTCAGTGCTAGGTATGTACTCAACAGAATTGTAGGCAGGAACAGATAATTGCTTATACCCCATGTCTGTTTTCTTAATTGTCAACAAGTGGAAATGACCTAAATGCCTTCAAAAGATGATTGGATAAGCAAAATGTGCTGTATACATATAATAGAATATTACTGGTGTGGTACTATACAATAAGCACTGGGCTACTCACCACAAAGTCAGTAGTTCAAACCCATCACTTGCTCCTTGGGAACCTCATACAGGGTCACTATGAGTTGGAATCGACTTGATTGTACTTAAAGAGTCATAGAGAGAAATGAAATCCTGATACATACTACAGTGGGTGTCGAGGTCCTATGTCGGGGTCCAGCCTCAACAAGGAACTGTGGTGTCACGAAGAAGGGAGATCTGGCAGCGAAAGGGATAGAGAAAGAGAGAGACGAAATATATACAAAAAAGACACATACAGATATGATGCAAGCTGGTAGGTAGGCAGATCTGCAAACATTTTGCCTAGCATTGCATACAGAACTCACTCTCCCTCAGTCTTTTATTCTCTTTTTTAGGGAGGGATTTTTTACAAAGGAAGGATGTAATTCACAAAGGGAGGATGTAATTCTTTAGATAAGATAGGATACGGAATTGAAATGTGATTAATCATTCAAAACAGGACATAATGATTCACAGGAACAACTTTTAAGATATTTTCATGGTTTTCTTAACAATCTAACATTTTTATTTTTACAGAAAAAAAGTTCAGTCAAGCTGTTATATATTAACTTTTAGGCTTAAATGATCTAGAGCAGTGATGTGCGGTTTTAACATAAAGCAATGTTCCTGAAAGGAGCCAAGCTGTCTCTGTACACTTTGCAAACTTTTGTTTGTGAGCAAGATTTCAGGCACCGGGCTTCATTTATCTATATCTAAAATGCTACATAGTTCTCAATTATCACATTTCTATATTCTTTCAGAAGGAAGGAGATCATCTGGGCTAAACTGATTATATTCAGAGGTAGTTTAATGGGGCTGCCACTATTATCCTCTAATCCAACATTCCCAGAATTTACCATTCCACTTTATTTACAAACCTTGGGTAGTTTTTCTCTAAACACCTTTTCTCATATTCCCAATATACCTGTTCCTGGCCTTTCTGAATTATCTGAGGAAACTTTTTACTGCCTCAGCTCTAAACAGGGGTTTCAAACCCATTATTGTTCATGGATATTAAACATAACTGAATAATCAAATAAGGAGCAGTTCTGACTTCCATCCCAGGTGGCTATCACTTGTTCGTCAGAAAGATTTGTTCCCAGGACTCCACGCACTGCCAACACAGTGGAGGCATTAAGAGAGGCATTGTAAAGGAAACCATTTTCTCAGAAGCTACAATTACTGGAGTTAGAAGCATAGAATGAACACTATTAGGACCAAAGAAAATTATACAGAGGTAGCCAACCAGTGAGTTCGCAAAAACCAATGAACCCGGGACGTCAGGAGGTCACTTCCTTTGGCCCTCAGGGTCCATGGCTCGCTATCCTGAGGAGGGCCTCAGAATTGGATTTTCGTCCATGTCACAGGGCCACTGATCAACCCAGGGTCTGAGTATGCTGATGCCAGCAAGTGGGGATTATGCTGCATGAAATATATCTGTCACAAAAGAACAAATCCCATTTATATGAAATACCTAGAATAACTAAATATAGAAACCAAAATGTATTAGTGATTACAAGACTTGGGGGCAGTGGGAAAGTCATTGCTAATGGAACACTGAATTTCTGTTAAGGGTGATGAAAAAGTTTAGTTGCACATGATGAATATAATGTCACTGAATTGTTTGTACTCCAAGAGTTCTAATTCTGGTTGAGACCGCCTGCTGAGAATTTTCTCACACACAGTCACGTACTTCCAGATAGACTGAATCAGAATCTATGTTTTAATAACATCAGCAGGGGGTTGAGCCAGAATGAAGCCAAGTTGTACATAGAAAAAATGTTGAAACGGCATAGTTTTGTTGTTACACACATATATAACCACAATAAAAGGGGGGTGGTGGTGGTGGATGATTCTAGTAGAATAAAATTGCTTATTACATGGCTTTTGATTGTTGTTGTTAAGTACGGTGGAGTCGGTTCTGACTCATAGTGACCCTGCACAGGGTTTCCGAGGCTTTAAATCTTTACAGGAGCAGAACGCCTCATCTTCCTCCCATGGAACTGCTGGTAGTTTTGAACTGCTGACCTTGAGGTTGGCAGCCCAACTTGTAACCACTGCGCTACCAGGGGGATAATAGCCTTATTGTAAAGCCCCAATGCCGTTTAATATTTAAACATAAGAAGTTGAAAAACTCAAGGGAGTCCATTGTCACTTGAGTAATAAACCATATGTCGAATATGTATTTTCAAGAAGTTACAAATAGAAGTTGGATAGCTGTTTATTTGAATGGAGAACTTGTGTCGTAAACGCTAATGCTGTGTTGTCTTCTTTTATAGATTATGGAGCTGTGTGGTGCAACAAGACTTGGTTATTTTGGAAGAAGTCAGTTCTATATTGCTCTGAAACTTGTAGCCGTTGCCCAGTCTGGTTTCCCTTTAAGAGTGGAAAGTATAAATACAGGTAAATAAAGCAGTATAATAAATGAATGTAATAACTGAAATGAAAAACTTGTAATCACAAATGAAATAATAAAACTCTTAAATCGGCTACTATGGTGATGTTGGTGCCCTTGAGTGAACTGTTATTTCCACTACCATACATTTCTCATTTGTAAGTATTAGAAAATATGTGTAAAATTCTTTACATTTCATGCATACTTGATAGCAACATAGGTACTGTTCAGATAATTATTTTAGGAAATTTACTGAAAATTATAATATGCCTTCTCTATCTTCATCTTTTTTTAATCAGTAAAAAAAAAGACTATGGTTCATGTTTCCTTGTTTCAGAATGCTGTGAAGGCTCCATTTGGAATGACCATAGTTTTACATCAGTAACACACGTGTTACTTTTTTTTGTTGTTGTTGTAAACCACACAACCCCTTCATGTTAGTTTCCTAGTCGAAAGTATCAATTGACCAAAACTTTCTAATTGGTAGAGATAAATATTAACGTATTAATAGATAAAACCTATTTCTAGAAATCTGATCTTACGAATGTCACCTAGGATCATGTATTTTTCAGTTATTTGGAGACTTACTGATATGGAAAAGGATGAAAAAGATTTTAATGGGTACTTAAATGCAGAGGGTTCTATGGTTTTCATAGAGAAAAGGAAAAAAAGGAAAAATTGAGGTTTTATATAATGTTAGGATTTTTCAAAGTAGCTTTTAAGTACCAGCTCAATTTATTGGTTAGAAGTTTTCATTTTGGACCTCTGGTTTGCCACGCATTATTCTTCTAGTGTTGTGAGTGTATTTTCGTTTGGGATAATTCTGGATTCTTTCCCGTAAATGTTGAATTAAATATTTTTCTTCCTTAGTGTGAAGATTCTCCAGAGAGATCTCATATAGTTGAGGGAAGTATATTTTTCAAATTGACTCTGCAGCTGTTTTCTTCTAGTCTAAAAGTATGAGTTTTGATGGACTTGCAAAGAAGTTTGATCTTCCTTCTTTCTTGCTAATTGACTATAGACTAGCTGGCTGTAGGAGTGTCATGAGCAGGTTGAAGTGGAGAGATGTAGCCCCTTATAGGTTTCCTTCATAGCTGAACAGTATGGTATTTTCAGGTGTTTCTGACAGGGCAGTGTTTTAAGTTAATCAAGCCTCAAAGTTAATGACTTATTCTGTGTTTTACTTAAAGCTGTTGTGGAGCCCATGTGATGGAGTAGAAGCATCCTAGGATTCATAGTCTCGCCAACCTAGATTCAAATCCTCTCCCTTTCTACCAGTGTGACCTTGGTCTTTCAGAACCTTAGTTTTCATATCTGTAAAATGGAGATGATGCTTTACAGAGTTGATGGTTATGAGATAAATGTAAAGCGCTAAGCAGTAGGGACTGACATGCAGTGGGCATAACTAGCTTAGAAGGTTGATTTGCTATTACCAATTCCTTCTCGGTAGAAGGAAATGTTAGGGTCCATCTACATTTAAGGTCTGAATTTTGTAGTGGTAGACATTTTGTGCCTGTTGTTTCTGTACTGGTTTTGGAAAAAACTATTTCTGGTATCTAATTAATCTCAGTTTATTTTTTAGTGTGTGTGTTCTTTTAAATTTTAAAGTCATAACTTTATGTGCTTCACAGTAAAAGACCTTCCTCTGCCAAGATTTGTAGCTTCAAAGAATGAACAAGAGTCTCGCCATGCAGCCTCATATTCTTCAGATTCTGAAAACCAAGGGTCTTATTCTGGTGTAATTCCTCCCCCTCCTGGCAGGGGACAAGTGAAAAAGGGATCCATAAGCCATGATGCTGTTCAGCCCCGCACAGCTTCGGATCCCCAGGTAACCACATGCATGTGTAGATACTACATCAACGCCTTTACTCTGTACCTTAGTCCTTAACACATAACCTGAAAATCTCATTTTAAAGTAATAATGCAGCAAGTCCCCAGTTACAAAGGTGGCTTAAGGACAATTCGTACTTGCCCTTTAATGTTATGTAAATTGTCCGCCCTGTGAAATGATTGAACCAACCCTATTTGTAACATATTCTTCATCACAACCACTATCACTTGTAGCTTTTGAATTCTAGAAAAGACTCTGAGCCTTTTCTTGTACTTAAGGAAAACCAAATAAGAATGTATGCAGCTGCCCAATTGTATGACCTAAAATGTGACTTGATGACAGGATCCGATCTTGCCTGTAACCCAGGGTGCCTGCATTTTTTTCTAGGAACCTGCATCCCCAGTAGTTTCACCACAGCAGTCTCCGCCATCTTCTCCACACACTTGGAGGAAGCATAACCGTCATCCCAGTGGGGGAAATAGTGAGAGGCCTCTTGCAGGACCTGGGCCATTTTGGTCACCGTTTGGTGATGCACAATCAGGTATTTAGAAGTTCTTTTGAAGTAACAGTTACTTAGGATTGTAATCTAAAGGAGACTTGGTAGCTTTCCTGTAAGAGTTATCGCTAAGAAAATGATCAATTTTAAGTTAATTGCCTTAAACAGAAGCAGATGTCAACTGTGAAAATTTGTAGTAGCTGTATCACTTTGAAAAGTGATAGTTGCAGTTACTTCTCTTGGTGCCGTAGAAAAATCACTGAACTGCGTATTCAACCCACCAACCACTTCTTAGAAACCCTGTACATGGCCACTGTGAGTTGGAACCAACTTGACAGCACTTAACAACAGCAACATAATGCTTTAGGAGGAGTCCTGGTACTCAGCTGCTGTTCACAAGTTCTAACTCACCCTTCAGGTCTATAGGAGAAAGACTTGGCAGTTTGCTTCTATTAACGCTTATGGCCAAGAAACTCTGAGGCAGGCAGTTCTCTTCTGTCAATGTGAGTTTGCTGTTTGGTGGAATTGACTCAACATTTAATAACAACATGATATTTGGAGAAATGTGAATATTTGAGTTTCTGGAGCTAAAATAAATGAATTCCTGGATATTGGATAGCTGTTCAATTATTTTGTTATTGGCAAGGGAACAAGATGATTTAAACGGTGCATAAGTTTTAATTGAACAGAAATGATTCCAATTTGGTGGTTGTTGAATTTCTTCGATAATGCGTATGTGCAGTTTGTTACACTCTTTAAGTAAATACGTAATCAGCGTGTTTACTGTTTTGCTTGTAGGTTCCTCTGCTGGGGATGCAGTGTGGTCAGGCCATTCTCCACCTCCACCTCAAGAAAACTGGGTCAGTTTTGCAGACACTCCACCAACCAGTACTCTTTTAGCCATGCATCCTGCTTCTGTCCAGGTGTGACATTTTATTGGTATTGCGTTTTGTTTGCTTCATTCAAGGTATTGCTGCAGTCATTGTTTTTATACTTTGTCATGGCAATATGATAAATGCAAGTTCACTCTTTAACAAAGAGCAGAACTCTGCTCTGTGCCTTTTTGCCAGCTCTGTTATCATTGGAATGTTCCTCTAAAGGTCTTAGCTGTATTTTCTTTCTATTTCTAAGTCGCTAATGAAGTTTTAAAAGATGTTGCATCTAGGACTATATTTGCTTGGCTTTCTTAGCTCATTTTTCATAACTTTCTGTTGCTTACATAATTGCTGTCATTTCAATACATTTATATATCATGGTGTTAAAACACATTTTCTAGCCTATTGATAACAAATGCTTAGCTTACCGCTAAGTTGTGAAGACTTCTTACATTGTAAACGTCCACAAAAAGTAAGTTTTACTTTCAAAGAGAAGTCACACCTTGGTCCATGTGATCCTATAGATAGATACTATACTGAGGAAAAAATGTTTCATTACAGGACCAGACAACAGTCCGAACTGTAGCATCAGCTACAACTGCCAATGAAATTCGTAGGCAATCCAGTAGTTATGATGATCCCTGGAAAATAACAGACGAACAAAGACAGTATTATGTAAATCAGTTTAAAACCATTCAGCCTGATCTAAACGGATTTATTCCAGGTGAGTTGTTCAAAACAGAAGTTCTCCTAGATGTGAAAGGACAACGTCTCACTTTCATAATCTCAAAGACATTGTTTTATTGGTCATATATTATATAATTATGAAAGAGAATTAATTCTCAAAATGCTTGTCTAAAAAAAGTTTGTAATCACTGGGGACCAAAAATGCGACGTATATACATATGAAGCTTACCTCTTGCCCAGTCAGAGAAAGTACTAAGGGCTCGTGCCTCACATTTAATTCTTAAATCTGTAAGTTCAGTATAACATTAAACACCACTGTTTTAATATTTCAGGATCTGCAGCTAAAGAATTTTTTACAAAATCAAAACTTCCTATTCCTGAACTTTCTCATATTTGGTAAGTGTGTTAGTATGTAATTATTTGGGCGATATGGGTTGGATCAAAGGAGTGGATTTTGGAATCCTATAAAAGAAGCTATTGGACTAGCTTCTTCGAGAATGTTCTCAGAGAACTCAGTACTGCCTGAGGGAAGGAAAGAAATACTGTGATGCTGGTACAATAGTTCTTAGCAATATCTACTTTAAAAATTCTTGTCGCTGTATTTATCTGCTATTTCTTGTTGCTAGCATACTGGTATTGAATTACATGAAATAAAAGCTAGTTTGTTCATAAATGGTTTTGTTTACCTCATTTATTTTTTTTAACAAATTTGATAAAGCCCTGTACCAAGCCATGAAGTTAAAAACACACAGCAAGACTGAGGATAGCTGCTGTAAGATTAGAATTAGTCCTTAGATGATGAATTATAACCACAAATTATTATTATTTAAATAATTATGGAAACATAAAATATTTTAATATATTTACTATCAATCTGTTTCTCTATACGGGCAGCCCCCAGTGTATGAACGTCCACCCATTATACAGCCGGTAGTTAAGAACCAACTGCTGAAGAGCCTGTTACTTTAGAATGTTCAGGATACATATAATGGATGGTAATAACACCAAGTGCTACTTTATAACACACAACAAAACGTTCCATTATTACTGTATTTTTAAGGTAAATATGGCCTCATGTGTATGAAAGTATTTCTTGAACATTTTTTATGCATAGAAATATACACTTTTTTGTAGTAAAGCAAGCATTTCACTAACTGACATAAGGTATAAACCATGCCTAACTATTCCAGCTTAATGTATAAATTTGACTTAAAGACAGATTTTATTCATCCTCTTGGGACTGCTTGTATTCCAGATTCTTTTCTTAGTAGGTTTTAATGGCATAGAGCACTCTTAATAGGAAGTAGGTAGATAATGCCTAAAACTGGAAAAATCAAGAACTCGAATGCTGTTTATACTAACCGAGGTATAAATCCAAGTGCTTGCCTTTGGGTTTAGGAAATGGCAAACAGCAGGAAAGGGCTGCTGGCTTTGTGAGATTTTTCTGGGTTTTTTTTTTTTTTTTGCATCAAACTTCGTAGTTTTCTTGGGTGCTTCAAAAAAGTACATACATGTGAAAATTTGATAACAATAAAAACTATTATTATTTTTTTTAATTCGGTGTTTTACTGAAGAAAGCTTTCAGGAATTAAAGATCCTGTTTTTGAGTCCTGATTTGTTGGAGCTGTTGACTTTTTTTATTATTTTTTTTATGGCACTTGCATACATAGAAAAGCTAAAGAAGTGTAACTTCTATCTCCATTCTGCACCACCTAGCTCGGGGATGGGGAACCTTTTCTTTGTCCAAATATATAACATCACTTATGGGCCATCCAAATTTATCAGCTTTAAAAATTAGCCTGCTTTGTTTAGTCAAACATTTAATGAACTCACCCCTAATGGGATGGCTAAGGAGCTCTGGTAGTATAGTAGTTACGAATCAGGCTGCTAATCTCAGGGTCAGCCCTTCGAAACTACCAGCTGTTCCATGGGAGAAAGATGAGGCTTTCTGCTCCCGTAAAGAGTTACATGCTCGGAAACCCTGTACAGAGTCGCTATGAGTCGGAATTGACTCCACAAAACGTAACAACAACATGATGGATGGAGTCATCGTGTGGCGCCATGTGTTAATCCACTGGACTGCAAAATCGGTTTGAACTGCCAGGTGGGCGGTTCAGGCTCACCAGCTGCTCTTTGAAACCCTATGCAGGGTGACTGTGGGTTGAAACCAAATTCAGTAACACTTAACACCAACAGCAATGTGATGGCTGGAACTGTGGTTGCCTTGGTTGGGTCAGACCAAATGGTTTCATGGGGTTCGTGGCCCAAGTGTCAGATCTTCCTCACCCTGGACCTAGATTCTACTGTCAGCTGTTTGCTTTTTAAAAAATAACACATTTTTACACCTACAGGATTTTAAAAAATTATTAAATTTTTTGTACTTTCTCTGCGAAAGTATTTCTCTTAATTCTTTTTGAGAAATAAAGAAGTCCAGAGTGGAGCTTGATCATATTCATAGTAAGTTTGTCTCCTAGGGAACTCTCAGACTTTGATAAAGATGGTGCGTTGACACTGGATGAGTTTTGCGCTGCTTTTCATCTGGTAGTTGCTAGGAAGAATGGCTACGACTTACCTGAAAAACTGCCTGAAAGCTTAATGCCCAAACTGATTGACTTGGAAGATTCAGCAGGTAAGATTCACAGCTGAAGACAGCTGGTTGCGTGCCTTCATAAACATGATGCTAAATTCTTAATGCAAAATCAAGATGTTAATGCTTAGTGGCTTAGAATTTCATCAGGAGTACATTGATTTGCATCAGAATAAAATGTTCAGGCTACATTTGGATTAATGATTTGTTTAATTTAAATCAACTTTTAAAAGTAGTGATAATGAATATATGCCACCCTTCACCTTTAAACTTGTCACTTTCTGCGATTTGAAGAGCCTTTCACCTCTCAAAAGCCCATTGCTGTCCAGTCAATTCTGACTTACAGCAACTTTGTAGGGCAGATAGAACTGCCCCCTAGGGTTTTGAGGGCTGTCCTTTTTACAGAAAAGGACTGCCTGTGTCTTTTTTCCCCTGAGGCCACTAAAGTTCCTAGTGTGTTCAAACTGCCAGCCTTTCCATTAACTGCTGAGTGCTCAAGCACTGTGCATGTGGGCTCCTTCTTGTGACTTTGATGTTAAGTGCCATCCAGTAAGTTCTGACTGATAGCGACCTTGAATAGGGTTTCCGAGGAGCATCTGGTGAGTTTGAACCGCCCACCTTGGGGTTCAGGATGGCCTTTCCAGTCCAGTGCATTATCCTATAGTGCCACACCAGGACTCCTTTCATTTCATTTTATTTGCATTGTCTGAAGTGGCTCTCATACAAACATTTTTCCAGTTCATGAATCTCAATTTGTTAAAGGTAAATGCCTTAGTTTGTTGGAGGTAAATGTTTTTATGCATCTTAATTTGCTGAAGAAGAAAAATATGTGTATCATTAGATTTATGCACTCTACAAACATTTTACTGTAAAAAGCCAAGCTCTTTTCTGAAGACTAAGGAAATACAGAAATTTTGGTGTTTGATTTTACATAATGTTATTATTTATCATGTTAACAAGGAGGGGAGGACAGGGAGGACACTGCGGCTTCATGATGGTACTATTGTAAATGTTCATATTTATCAGTAGCTTTCTTAAAAAGGAAGAAGAATCTTAGGGGTAAAAAATGAGTGCCTTTTTCTTAAAAGGCAATCTAATGTTAAGTTCTTAATGAGCTTAATTAAAATCAAATTATTGTTTCCAGTGATCCTGTCTGTTTTATTTTCGATATGTAGGCAAATTTTATTGTTTATATGGTACGTGATTATACAGCTCTGAACTCTAATCATGAATTTTATACCTTTAAAGGAGACGTTAAAACAGCATTTAGCTTTGAAAAGAGCATTTGTCTATCAGTGTTCTTTTACACACAAATCCATATGGGCTGACTTAATGTCTGAATTATACAGACAGAATCAAATGCACTTAATTACTGTCACAAAGAGAACAATCTTCAACTCAAGAGTCTAAGTTTTCCTGCTTCTAGTTTTTCATTCCTCCTGTGACCTGGGCAAGTTTTAGCCGTATTTCTTGTTTCTCCACCTGAAATGTGAATTAGATGCCATGTGTATAGCAGGGCCAGGATTACACACATCAACCTTTGAAATTTACCAATAAGTTGACTTTTAAACTTCAGTGTTTTTAAAATTGTTTTAGAAAATATTTTCCGAATCCTGACGTTCTCCTTATTGTCTCAGGTTGTTTTTAAGCTTTATTTAGCTTCTAGTTTGATCTAAGAGGTAATTACCTTTGATAAGCAATTTTTCTTCAAAATTTACCTCCATAAGATAGAAATTAAAAAAAAAAAAAATTTCTGTTTAGGTAATTTGATAGTAGCTAAAATGAATCAAATTATGGTAGCTTTCAAACTTTCCATATTGTTTATTTAAAATTTGGGTTTATATCTAGTATTTTTATATGACTTTAAGTCTTTGCAAACTGATGCTTTAGTAATACAGGACAATAATTTAAATCAGGCTCAACTGAATTGTATTATTGTGTAGAAGCTTTGCCATCAGCTGTATTCAGATCAGTGAGTCTGGCTTTTACATGGTAGTTAGTGGGTTTCTTTTTCGTTTGTTTAATTTAAATAAAATCTGTTCCTCCTGTAAATGTATCCATTGCCTGAAATTTAAGGCTGCTGTCACTGAGAGACGTTCTTTTCTGAGCTTTTGCCTTTTCACCTAGTTTTACACTCTGTAGATCTGTTTAGCATAGCGAGGCTGATTTTCTGCCGATGGCACTTAACTATAATGTTACAGGTGTCAGAGATTAAGATAGTTTTCCCCTCCCAAACGTAGTTTTATGTGGTTTTCTGCTCAAGTTTATTGTAAACATTTTAACTACACAGTATTCAATTCAAATGTGCGTTACCTGTTTATAAATGATAGATTAGAGGTTTCTTTCAGTTGTGGGGTATGGAGGGAACTTCTGTAATAAATCATCTTTTTTCTTGTACCTATCATAAGTCTGACTTGCATATTACACAGATGTGATGATAGAGATTGTCCTGTGACACTGGTATCATTTAGTATCTGTAAAAATGTCTTTATAAGTAGGTGTGATTAATAGAAATTTATAATTAAAGCAGAAAAACTTAAACAGTGTCATTTGGCTCACATGGGCATTCATCAAAACTCCTCCCTCTGTGGCCCCTTCTCAATTTACCAGCAGACGTGCCCTTGCCCTTCTTTGCTCTCATAGCTCTCCTTCATGCTCTTTATTACAGCACACACCACGCTGAATCCTGTGTCTTTATTTCTTTTCTACACTCGGGGCTCCTGGGGGAGGGGAGAACATGTATCCTGTTTATTGTTGTAACCTTAGAACTTTGCAGGCATATAGTAAGTTACTTAGTAAATATGGATTGACTCCCCCCATTCTTCCAATTTTGAAAATACAGTCTTTCCTTCTGATAAATTTGTGTTGTTGTTGTTGTTGTTGTTAAGTGCCGTCGAGTTGGTTCCGACCCATAGCGATCCTGTCCAGGGTTTCCGAGGCTGTAAATCTTTACGGGAGTCGAAAACCTCATCTTTCTCCCGCGGAGCAACTGGTAGTTTCGAACTGCTGGCCTTAAGGTTGCAGCCCGATTCATAACCACTATTCAGCCAGAGCTCCTTAGTTTGTGTTAGTTGTGACAAACTGAAATATTATTCCCACAAGTATTATCTGTCTGCAGTTTAGGTAGTTCTCATCGGCAAAGAGGTAGTGACCAATCGTGACAAAATAGAACAACTAAAGATAATAGATTTAAGTACTTCTGTGAATCTGAATTAAAATACTTAATACATAAATTAATATTGAATTTGCTAACTATTGTAAATAGAAAGGAAAAATTGGTTTTCATGATCTTACAAAAGAAAGTATACAAAAATTCTTCTGTAGAAATGCTATCTGAAGCTGAATTCAGGAAGGAATATTAATCTTCTAAGAATAATTATCATCTTTTTTTAAAAAATTAAGTGTTATGGTGACCTGCTAGTATACTATAAAACTGGGTCTTAAAGTAAAGATACAAGTATGTTGAGATTCTATATATCTTATGATTCATCTTACACTCTGAAGAATCTTCTCCTTTAAGCACAATTGCAATTCTGCGTGTAGTTTTGCGATTATCTGGAAAGTATCTCTCTCAGGCTAAATTAGAGCTTCTTAGATGGGTTTTGTTCATTATATCGCAGAGCCTAGCAGTGTGCAAATTGAGTTCCTTCGTAGGTGTTCACAGGGTTGAAGTGGCTAGCTCGTGAACCAGTGGTTTTTAACTATTCACTGTCTCCACACCCCATTGCTCACATGTATCTCAAAGAGGAAATGGGGTGTACTCCTGTCTCCTCTGTCATCATTGGTGTGCACTACAACTTTGAGCACATGTTTCATTGTTGTTTATAATGTGCGGAGTATTCATGTCCAAATCCTAAGCACTACTTCCAATGTGTACTTTTTGAAACCCAAGGAAAGGAAAGCATGTGGGACTCTTTATAAGCACTCTACTAAAATTTCATGTACATCCAGACTTGAGACTAGCTTGGTGCTTAGAGGAAGGAGCTCTGTTTCAAGTCTTGGTTTTTCGATTATTTGTTAAAGAACAGATGTTCCCTCTTCACCATGGCTCTTCACCTCCCTTGATAAAGAACAGCATGTGCTCTTGATAGATTTAAATTATACAGAAGGATATTAAGGTACTAATCTATGTACCCTCTCTTCCCATTCCTTACAGTTAATCATTGTTAAGAATATCTCCTTTATCTGTCCAGAAAATTTTAACCTAGAAAAGCCCACACGCACGCATGCATATATATATATATATATATACACACACACACACACACACACACATACACTTGAGTGCATCAATGATGCCACCTGGCTGATCCATCTCATTGTGGGTCTTCCTCTTTTTCTCTGACCCTCCACCCTACCCAGCATGACATCCTTCTCCAGCGATTGTTTCCTCCGGACAATATGTCCAAAGTAGGAGAGACGAAGTTTAGCCATCCTGGCCTCCAAGGAGCACTCTGGCTGCACTTCCTCCAAAACAGATTTATTGGTTCTTTTGGCAGTCCATGGCACTTTCAGTACTCTCCTCCAACACCACAACTCAAAGGCATCAATTCTTCTACGATCCTCCTTATTCACTGTCCAGCTTTCGCATCCATATGAGGCTATTGAAAACACAATGGCCTGGGTCAGGCGCACCCTAGTCCTCAAGCTGACATCTCTACTCTTCAACACTTTAAAAAGTTCCTGTGCAGCAGATTTGCCCAGTGCAATACGTCGTCTGATCTCTTGACTGCTACTTCCGCGAGTGTTGATAGTTGATCCAAGAAGAATGAAGTCCTTGACAACTTCAATCTTTTCTCCATTGAATATATATATATATATATCGGATTTTACACAGCTGCAGACTATGCATCCTTAATTTTCCCTTCAATTATTGGGATATGGATAGCAGTGATGATTACAGAACCTGGTGAATATAATTAATGACACTGAATTGTGCAATTAAAAAGGGCTAAAATGATAAATGGATATATTTTATTGAAAATAAATATTGACCATATTTGTACTTTATCACATCTTGAGGTATCCTATTCTTTATCACC